ATTATTAATCTTTCTTGGTCTCCATACAGTTCTCCGAGAACACAATCATTGTTCCCTCCTGGTGCTCTTCCAGTTGGTTGCACAGCATCACATTCTGCAGAATGTAGTTTTCGAGTTCCATCACCCTTTCAAGTTTTGGAACCTTTGCGGAATGGACCTCACCACCCCGCGAGAGGGAGGCATAGCGGCATTCGACAAGTTTGGCCTTTTCTTTCCCCTTACTTTCAGCACACACTCTCACACACTCAGACTCTCCCTCTCTCTCTCTCGCTCTCAGTCAGCCACCTCTAATCATAGTTATAGTATGTTATAGTTGAATCTGCATGAATGAATCTTCCATTAAGAGATCTTTGGGAAAGGTCACGCATGGCACAAACTAAGGTTTGAGTGGCCAAGACCTTCCCCTCGCACGGTAATAGAAGAACAGAACATGCAAAACATAGCAGGTCCAAAGACTGCCTGCAGTCATGTCTTTTGAATTTCATGAGGTTCCATCCAAAGATCTCTGGGAAAGGCCACAGGTAGGGCAAACGAGGGCTCCTATCAAGGATATATAAGCTTTGGTTCTTCCAAGCTGCCGTTTGAGTGAACAAGACTCGTTTTGATTGCTGTTGACTTGTGCCCTGTGATGAAAGAAACACATCCCCATCGAGAATCCTTCATCTCAGAGGCATTGTTGGCCATTCGGCTCTTCATCGCCTATCCAAACACAAGGGAGGAGACAAATAAAATAACTTAAAGTCATCCCCACCATGCTGTCTCATGTCCCTTCTTTGTACCGTGCTTCGTTTGTTTATCCTTTTCCTGTCTTTCTTGTCTTAGAACCTTTGTAGAATCATTTCTTGTTTTCCATATTTTGCTTGTTGGCTTCCTTGAACGTTTGTCCCCAGTTGTTTTGGCGTTTTGCATGGACCTGGTTGGAAGGATTTGCTGGAGGTAATTGTGCAGATTGAAACATTCAGCCATTCAGCGGGACGTGGAAAATCGTTGAAATACATACAACTTATTCTGTTGACTTGCTTTTTTACTCGCGACATCAGATGGCATTATATAGGCCTTTCTATGAGAGGTGGACACCTAAGGGACAATAGATAGCAGTCGTTACTCTATTTTCAAAACTGCCATTCAAGCGGCCAAGACCTTCCGCCCAGATGGCAAAAATGTGACTTTGACAAAGGCAGGTCCTCCCATGACCTTGTGCATCACAACCTGAACCTCGTTGCTTCCGAGGCCAGACGCCTTTGGCCCAGGCGGCCTGGAAAGGGCACCAGCCAGTGGTCGAGGTGCTCCTTCGGTCCAATGCCGCCCTAGACGTGAAGGGCATTGGTGGCCAGGGTCCTGAAGATGAGGGCTCGCGGCGGAACCGGAGCAATGCCGTACTGTTCAGGATGCAAGTCCGCAGCCGGAAACCCACTGAGGCGACACAGCCCTGCACAACGCCGCCCAGCAAGGCCATCGTGAGATTGCCAACATGCTTCTCCAGAAGCGTGCTTCCCCCGACATTCCCAACGACGAGGGCCAGGGCCTCAGAAGAGGGCAGCGCATTTTGGTACAGGCTCTGGCTGGTAGTCGCTTTACATATTGCGTTCCGGCACCGGCCCTGGCCTCCCAGCAAACAATAGAAGGAGAGTGGATACGCAGGGACAGCCCCCAAAGCTATTTTGGATTGGACAGTCGTTGTTGTTGTCGTTGTTGTCGTCGTCCAAAGGCCTGACATAAAGTCCCATTATATCCCATTATTAGCACAGGGGGGGCACAGGGGATGCTTAGCTAGTACTGTCCTTGCTTCGCAGACCTTGCGGAGAGAAGCCGTTGGAGCAGCAATAAACATCCTGCGCGCCCTTGTGCAGTAATTCAGGAGAAAGACCGTCGACATGTTTTTCAACAGGGTCTACAATAGATTTGCTCCTGGCATATTTTGGCTGCAAATTTCAGCCTGTTGGCACCACAGGACTCCAAGTTGTGTTTTTCTTGCTTTTGGGTGTGGTTTTCGGGTTGAGGCAAGACGCCTTTGGACAATGCTCGTGAAAAAGGTCATGAAGGAATAGTGGGCCTGCTCACTGCAGTTCCTTGGCAGAAGAGCATGGCAATGTCTCATAGTTTTAGCATGCCTTCAAGAATGGCACCAGCATTCCTGCTGTGAAGGAAGTTGAGAGAATCCTAAGATTTAATTTGTCACCGACCACTGACCACCCTTGCCACCAAATCATGAACACCGACATGCAACGATCGGGCTGTTGATGGATTTGAATGGTTCGACTTGTGTTGAGCTTGTTGACATGCACCGCACGCACTAACGGGCCTCTACCAATCAAATACGATAAGGTCCGGTTTTCTCTCACTGACAGAACTCCATGCATTCCAAGGTCAAGGCGACAACGGAGCCCCAAAAGGCTGCAGAGGCAAGCCTTGAAGGGGCCTGGCAAGATGGGAAGTGCTGTGAGGCAGAAAAGGATTGCAGCACAACGAGCCAGAAACCTCAAGAACCCCTGTTTGGCAGACACTCCACAAAAAGTGCGCCAAACCACAATTTTATACAGTGAGGTTAGGGTTTGAAAAAAGTTTTAGTTCTCAGGTAGGTAGTGACAGAGTCACCCCTTTAACGTCCTAGTAGCTGCAGGCTGCCAAACCTTGGCCCAGCCTGTGAAAACTTAGATTGATCTCTCCCTCTCTCTCTCTCTATTCGCAAACTGCTCTTACGTTTGGCACTGGTTAGTGGTTTATATTCAAAAATGAACGTTTTGGATTGATGCCGACAGGCAGTGCAGCACAGCCTTTCCTAACTTGAAAGAGTTCAACATGAACATGCGTGGACGTTGTCAGGTAAAGGGCGTTCAGGCAGGGTTTGGCTAGCTTTACATTTCTAGCCTGTGGAACTTGCCCACGGCCTTGAAACATGAATTGAAGTATCCAAACCTCCAATCACTTTGGTCACTAGAAGCCAAACTGGCAATAACCTGTGTAGCTCCGACCATGTTTTGTTTTTTTCACGAAAGCTAGCTGTAGCTAGCTGGAGTCTGTCTTGCTTTAGCAAGGAGGGTGGGAGCCCAGGACCTGAGTGCTGATACCTGATATATCAGGACTATACCCCCCCTGTATCTGTAGTGTCCTAGGTCCCCATAGGCGTCTACGCTATACGTGTGTAGCATCTGTTCTTCGTAGATAGTTCTTGTGTAGATATCTTCAGTCAGCTTTCGCTGTAATTCATTTGGCTCAAGACTTTGAAGCCCAATACCTGCACTTCGCAGCCATAGAAAAGGTGTGCATCGCTGCCGCTCTCACACCGTCGTGTCCACGTGATCTCACTTGGTGTTTTCGATCAGGTCCAGTAAAGCTACTGCCACTTCAGGGGGAATTTACCCCTCAAAGTGGTAGCGGAGCTTGTGTCTCCTGCTTCGCAACGGTCGATTTTGCATTCGTGCAGAACCGTCCGATATTCCGGACAGGAGACAACCAAGTAGGTCACTTGCCTGAAGAATAGAGACCATGGTCCAGATCTTTAACATAGATACGGACGAAGAACATGACTACAGTCATTCGGAAGAGTCTGATCCAGAGGAAGGTTCGCGACACCGTCAACAGCAGTCGAGATCCTTAGGTTCGACATTCCGAACGTATGAGACACAACCAGCAACAGGTGTCAAAATGACGCCAAAGATTCCCCCGTCCTTTGATGGACAGTCATCTTGGTTCGAGTTTGAAGATCTGATTGATGACTGGGTAAACATTACTACCCTAACCGCAGAGAAGCTTGGTCCCTCGCTAAAGAATGCATTGACCGGAAACGCAGAGTATTACGAGAAAATGCTTGACAATGAGCAGCTTCGACATGAAAGAAACGGTATTACGTATTTCAAGGAAACGCTGCGCCCATACTTTGTCAAAGGAGCAGATCATGTTTTTCTCTGGCGTTTCATGCAACTCTTTAGGACCTGGCGCGGAAACGGGGAATTTGTCAGTTGGATCGCACGTTTTGAAGTTGCAAGTAAGAAAGTCCTAGAAGCCTTCATGGGCCTATTAGATCTTTCAACTGTTCCACAGGCTGATGATTTCGACTTTGTTGATAACCCCTCGCAACAGCAGTACTTACTACTCCAAGGACTTCAAGATCCCGCAGGAAGAATAAAAACTGCAGAAAGAATCCGCTCTGAACACATGGACGCCATGAAACAAGCACATCGTGATACTTTCCCATTGTCTGACAATTTGATGTCGCTGATTTTCTTAGTTCAGTCCGACCTCAATGAACGGCAAAGAGAAAGGTTTGTAGCCAGTATGGCCTTGCGTCAGATCAACATGAACAACTACACATACTTATATAGGTGTCAAAGGCTTATTCCTTGATCTCTTTTGCGGAACCGCCACAGGAACTGCCGATCCTTCGGCCCGCAGGCAGAGAAGATCCACTTTCCTTGTCCTCGATGAAGGAGACTTGGAGGAAGAATCCGGATACTGGGTGATGGATCAGGAAACAGGCGAAGAAGGATTTGTGAGTTTGTTCTCAGAATCCGAATGTTGGGTGTTAGCAGCCAAGGGAGGATACACCCGTAGAAGAATCCAGGGAAGAAGATTCAGGAAACCATCCAAAGGCGGCAAAGGTAAAGGCCGCTCAGCCGTAGAGGCAAAGGTGCAGGCGGTGCAGGGGCGCACTATGCAGAGTACCCTGGCAACTCAGGTTTCTATGCAAAAGGCAAGAAAGGAAAGAAAGGTGGAAAGAAAGGTTTCAAGGGAAAAGATGCATTCAAAGGCAAGGGAAAAAGCAAGCAACAGAATCAACAATCCAATGTTGCAACCACCGATGAGCCTTCAACAGCTCAGTCAAATCCCAATGCCGAAGAAACCTGGAGTGCACAGGAAGCAAGTTGGTCATGGGACTCATACGGATACCATACAGACCAGTACTATCCAGAAGATATCTGGCAGGCAAATCAAGCCACCTGGCAACAATGGACATACTTTGCGGACGGACAGACGGACAGACCGCAAGATGAAGAGCACCATAGCTCAGAGCCAAGGCCTGACCAGAAGAACCAGTCAACAGATTTCCGATATTACGGACATCACGCAGAGGAATTGACTGGTGAAGAACATGTTTCACATCAGTATCACCTAAACCCTGCCGGTAGCAAGGAAGACGACCGACATTCCGGTTGTTCTGCATTGGTAGATCCACGCTTCTGTTTTGTCAACTTTGACGATGGATTTCACCATGCATTGTTGTCTGAATACATCGACTTGAGGTACAGCCCTACCTACGTGATCATCGACAGCGGCTGTGCACGAGCAATGGGCTCAAGGACAGCCATCATGCGTCTAGTGAAGGCATGTAAGAGACACTACAATTCATCCAAGATTGATTTCTCTTTTGAGCCCTCGTCAAGTCGATTTTCATTCGCCAACGGTGAACAGTCCAACGTCCGTGAGAAGCTTGTGATTTACTTTCAGTCACCTACCGGGTGGATCACAACAGCAATCGACATTTTGGACCGAGGCGGTGTCCCAATCCTATTTAGCGTTGAGCAGCTTAGGAACCTTCGCATGTCAATAGAGCATGCTCCTGTCGGCGACTATCTGACTTGTCCTTTGTTCGGCTTGAAACGTAATTCGTTGCCTGTGAGCACTTCGAACCATAATGTCTTAGACATCATGATGTTTGCCAGCTCAGTTCGTAAGCCGAACCACAGCTTCACAGCAATCAATCCTTCGTTTGCATCATGTCCAGCATGCAGAGGCAAGCGCCGACCGCATACATATAAGGAAGGATGCACAAAGGCAGCATCGTCAGAAGTGAAGGAAGACAAGCCAGCAGCCGATATTCCGGCAGCTAAGAAGCCGGAAAAGATACTCGCAAGCGGAGATGCCAAGGTCGATCCGCCTTCGAAGCTTATTTCGATGCCTCCACCGGCCAAGACGGTGACACCTCCGACATACCGGAGAACAGAAAAGTCACCTGATTTTGGTACACCATTTGAGCATTCGAAGATTCCAAGTTCAAGCTCAGGAGCAGAGAAGCCTGGTGTACCTCCTACAGCACCAGATGCGCCGGTGAAGCCAGATCCTCAGGAAGAAACAAAGGAAGACGTGAAACCAATACCAACTACAGTTCAAAGAGAGAAGAAGGCACCAAAAATTTCAGTACATTGCCGTTAGCATTGCAGAGAATTCATGAAAAGCTGTCTCATCCTACAGAACTCTTGAAACTGCATTTGAAGCACTATCACATGTCCACCGAGCAGTTCAAGAAACGTACATCAGCTTTGAAGATTCCTGCTAAGATCTATGAAGAGTATGACAAGGTAGTTAAGCAGTGTGATACATGTCAGAAGTCTAAAATTGCACCTTCAAGATCAAGAATTTCAGGTATGAGAAGCGAACCGTTCGGTGAACTCACTTTTGTTGATCATGGTGAACTTGCTCTCAAGGAGAAGTCCAAACTTTTTCCTGATTATATATCTATGATGGTGCAACTTCTATGACCACTGCTTATGTCTGTAACGGCAAGACTGAAGAAGAAACTATTCGCCATCTTTTGGAGTACTTTGAAACATACCAGTTGAACCCTAAGTATCTTGTCGGTGATCAAGGTTTCATGGGTACTGAACTCGAGGCCTTCTATAACAGGAAGAACATCCGACCGATTACCTTAGGGCCTGGTACTCCATGGCCAAATAGAGCTGAAGCAGCTGTACGCATGTATAAGAAGCAGATCGCCCTGATGCTTAAGGCCGTGACTGAGGATCCATCCAGATACGAGATTACGTACCGTCAACGCCTCAGACAAGCATTGTTGGCCAGGAACTCCATGGTAACTTTTGGTGGAGTTTCACCATTGGAGATGGCATTCGGAAGACGACCTGCTGATCTTTTGTATCCAGAAAACATGACACCGGAACAGCTGACAGCTTCACTACCTTCTCCTGAAAAGAACATTGATGCCCTCAGAACACTTGCCATGAAGTCTTATTTAGAAGCCAAACAATCTGACGACTTGAGACGACATTTCTGCAAGACTTCAACTGAGTGATGGTCCATTCTATCCTGGAGATAAGATATACTATTGGACAGAAGATAAATCCAAGGTAAAATCTGATGGAACCCATAGTGGTAAATGGAGCAAAGGCAAGGTTATCAGTCCTGATGGAAGTATGGTTGGTATAGACTTGGGCACCAGAATTTTGAAGGTCAACATCAGTAACGTTTGAAAGGACATCAACCCGATTGAAGATGTTGAGGCGCCGCTCGATCCGATTGCGCTACTGAGTTCTGAGAGTGCACGGACCGACGTTCCGGTCTCTGACCATGCAAGCTCTCTTGTCCAGAGCGACGGAGCCCAGATTGGCGTAGAAGGTTTTACATATTCCTCTTACGCATGGCAACCTGAGATGACAGGCAAGATTGATTT